TAAGATTTCCTTCTTTTCTATGGGAACCTGCAGTTGTGAAATTGTTAGTCACCATAGGTATAAAATTATAAGATAATTATATCAAATTTACCTCATCCAATCTAATAAAAGAGAAACATGAAAATTGACCACACCTCCACTACGACCCAAGCCATGCCCACCAGCCAATCAGAGCGACTATATGCAAATTAACCCAACCAAGATGGCAGCCGGCAGCCATGGAGCTGGAGCAAGCAGGAGGCTTGGTTGCCCTGGCGATGGAGGAAGCCAAGCTTCCTGCCTGTCCTGGCCAGCTGTGGCCTCCACTCAAGGCAACCAAGTTTCAATTATAGAAGATAAATAAGTCCCAGATACCTGCTTCCAGCCAGCCTCCACTGGGAGCTTGAGTGGCTGGGGGCTATGACCAGCCTGCAAACAGCCATCAGCCACTCACCCAGGCTGGCCAGGGACCCCCACTCTGAAGGGGCTGTGGCCAGCCTGAAAATGGCCCTCAGCCCCTCACCCAGGCTGGCCAGGCACCTCAGCGGGACCCCCACCCTAATCCGGGACACCCTTCAGGGAAAACTAGCTGACCCCCACCCGTGCACCAGGCCTCTAACCTACATAATAAAAGGGCAATATGCAAATTGACCCTAACAGCAGAACGACTGGGAATGACTGGTCACTATGATGCACACTGACCACCAGGGGTCAGCCGCTCAATGCAGGACCTGCCCCCTGGTGGTCAGTGCACTCCCACAGGGGAAGCTCTGCTCAGCCACAAGCCAGGCTGACGGCTGCCAGTACAGCAGTGGTGGTGGGAGCCTCTCCCACCTCCTCAGCAGCACTAAGGATGTTCGGCTGCAGCTTAGGCCTGCTCCCCGCTGGCAAGTGGACATCCCTCGAGGGTTCCCGGGCTGCCAGAGGGATGTCTGACTGCCATCTTAGGCCCAATCTCCCAGGGAGCGGGTCTAAGCCAGCAGGTGGTCATTCCCAGAGGTGTCCCAGACAGAGAGAAGGCACAGGCTGGGCTGAGGGACCCCCCCCCCCCCCGAGTGCACAAATTTTTGTGCACTGGGCCTCTAGTATATAATAATGTTCTGATGCTTAGTATAATAAATTGTAATAGAGCCAAGACCGGTTTGGCTCGGTGGATAGAGCGTCGGCCTGCGGACTGAAAGGTCCCGGGTTCGATTCCGGTCAAGGGCATGTACCTTGGTTGCGGGCACATCCCCAGTGGGAGGTGTGCAGGAGGCAGCTGGTCGATGTTTCTCTCTCATCGATGTTTCTAACTCTCTATCCCTCTCCCTTCCTCTCTGTAAAAAATCAATAAAATAAAAAAAGTAAATAAAAAAATAAATAAATAAATTGTAATAGAGGTCACATAAATTTTCCAAATCATAACTGGTAGCTGTAACTTTAGTCCATTCAGTATGATGCCTTTAAAACCATAACCTATACAAGTAAAAGTTATCAGTGTTCATTTCTTATTTTATGGTTTGAATCTTTTCGTTGTTTTTGAGTTGAAGAAATCACCCTACTCTTCATTGAATTGACATAATGTCTTCACTAGTGTGTATATTTCAGATACTTTTTCTATTCTTTGTTGTTGCTCCTCTAGGAAGGAGGACACCTGGGTCTGAATCACTAGGGAAAACCCCCAGCGTGGAGGTCTCTAGAAACTTGAGCCACACAGCCTGTGCTCACCTGTTGCACTCGGAATGCATAAAGCATCAATGCTTTACATGTGAATGCTCAACTGTCTTTTAGACATTTGGAGAGAAGGAGTTGGAGTTCAAGTCCTGCCATTCACACATTTAATCATTCCTTCGGTCAACAAATATTTATCCAACACTTGCCAGGTATCATCTGAATATCACCAAATAGAAAACAAGACTTCAGTTACATTAACAACTCAACAAAACCTTAGTTAGTCAGGCCCCAAACTTGGAAGAGATGGCGAATTGGGTCATTTTAATAGAGCTTAATAACAAAGGGGTTATTTACAAAAAGTGTGGGCAAGACCAAAGGGCAATCACAAGAGATAACGTGTATATCAGGGCCGGTTGCGGCTGTTTTCGAGCCTGGACCCGCCCCGGTAGGGACAAGAGGAGAGAACTGTTATGAAAACCCAGAGATAAAAAGAACTGTTTGGAGAGTGCCGTGTGGCAGGAGCTATGCCATTCAGTTAAGGAATGCAGCCAGCCCACTAAGGATCTTGAAGGAGGAACCTGGAGGAATAAATACCCCAGGCTCGCTCTCGTCACTCTGATTTCTTGCTGATATTTCCTATTAGCTGAACAGAGGTGCAAGGGAGCAGATTGATATAAACTAAGCAGGTCAGCTTTCCCCATGCACAGAGCAGGGTGGAAAAGGATGGAGAGTGTTCTGGAGGGACAGGCTGTATATCCAGCATGAACTCAATGCTCCCAAACGTAGTGCTTCCATGGTTAGGGATTCCAGGGCCCCAAAAATTAGGTCTGGGAACTGAAATCATTGAGGGCTCCTGGTTAACCGTCTTCATTAGCATGACATTACAATTCATTGTCTTTATCAGCACGACTTGACTACTCCAAGCAACTTTTGTCCAGAAAGATAAATGTTGCAAATCCATTCTAAATCCTCAACTTTTCAACAGACAACATAAAATGACCGTTAACCTTTCACGAGTCTTTGGAACCCTCACTTCACTATGCTCACCAATCCCAAACCACTGCATCATGATCCTTACCCAATCCTAACCAAGCCACCACACTGAATACCCACCTGAAACTAGATCCAATACTCATCAATTCCCCAACTTTGCTCTCCCTATTCTTTTTTTAAAATATATATTTTTATTGATTTCAGTGAGGAAGGGAGAGGGAGGGAGAGAGAGAAACATCAGTGATGACAGAGAATCATTGATCGGCTGCCTCCTGCATGCCCCACACCAGGGGTTGAGCCCACAACCTGAGCATGTGCCCTGACCAGGGATGGAACTGTAACCTCATGGCTCATAGATCAATGCTCAACCACTAAGCCACGCTGGCCAGCATTTCTTTGTGGATTCCAAAAGCCATTCCACTCTTACTGAGTGAGCACTGTTGCATGTCCCTAATATTTCGGAGGTAAGAAGGAAGATTGAATTTACATTCATTCAGTGTGCGTCATCTAACTCCAAAGACCTCCCTTGGCCATGTCTCTTTCAAAGTGCTTCCTCCTGGCTCCACCTCCAATATGACTCTGACCCCCAGGGAATTCAGCTCCCGTTGGCCTTCCCCTCCCCTCATTCATCATGGATTCTGACTCTAACTTGAAGCCATCCAGCAATTTTTTAAGAAAACAAAGATATTCTCTTACTGCAAGAACCTGTTAGGAAAACAAAAAATTTTCTAAACATTACATTCGTGGTTAGGGCTAACCCTAACCAAAAAATTAAAAACCTTAATGTCTACCCATGGGACATCAATGTTATGAAATCACTATATAGTGATAGAAAGGGATGAGGTGGATTTCTATGTACTCACAGGCAAGGATCGTCATGACATATTGTTAAGTATATAAAACAAGGTGCTTACAAATATGTATATTATAATCCATTTTTTGTTAAAATATTATACACATATGCCTTTCCCTTACATGTGTGTTCAGTATAAATCAGCAGCTCCCTGATTCTGCTCACTCGTCACTCATTGGACTGCATGGGGGAAGTAAGAGAAGCTATGAAACAATATTGATGTTGTTATAAATGAAACCTTTGATCTTTCCAAGGATGTGTTGGTGTATGTTTTTCTCCAGAAAAAGAGAAGGAAAGGGCAGAAGCCCTGATGTGTGATATTTGCTATGCCCCTGATGTAAACACTCTCACCACGGTTGATTTCAAGCCACCAGTTGACATCACCCAGTGTTTATGAGAAGAGATATGCACCAGCAGCTCTCTCAAACCTGCTCAGCCGGCTCCAGCAGCACCACCCTGACTTTCTCTTTCCACATTCTTAACATAAGTAGCTGTTCTTAAAGGCCCAGCACAATGCCTCTTTCCTCCAAGGACTTGAAAGTAGCAGAACAGCTTATTTCTACCCCTGCCAGGGAAAGAGGGGGAACAAGGGCTCCCAAAGAGGAGATATTCGCATTCTTCAACTCTCAAGGTGTCCACGTCTTGCATGAAGTCAACAGCCTTAACTAAAGGGTCAGCGCGTTGACCTTCATGTTTGCTAGCACTGCACTCCTCTGGGAGCAACCGAAAAACCCACTGTCAGGGGCTGAAGCAAGTAGACATTTATTTTCCTCCCGTCACAAAACATCTGCGAAGGACAGACCAGGGCCTTACGGAGCCGGCTCCTTCTGTCTTTCCACTCAGCTATCCATCCTGTTCCTTGTCACTGTGTGGTCACAGGACATCTGCTCCACCCTCAGCATCACGCTGTGTTTCAGGCAAGAAAAACAGGAATATGAAGGGCGAAAGATGCACGTGGGCATGCCAGATGAATCTGCTCCAGAGGAAGAGCCCACTGGGAGGCCCTCTCCAGGACTTCAGCTCACATCCCATGGGCTAGACACACATCCTGTGGTCACCTCCCCCCTTTAAAGGAATGTTGAAAAATAGCGCACACTCCCCACCCCCCAAAAACGGGGTTCTGTTAGGCCACCAGAAGTATTTGTCACAAACATAAGTCACAACAGAAATAAAGACATGGAGAACAAGGACACAAATCCTAAGATATCAGGCTCCTAACCATGGTGACAGGAGCCACTCCACTGACCACCTGCAAGGTCCTAATATGACACAGCGCCGAGCGCGCGTGGGCGCGCACACACACACACACGCAGAAGAACACCCTAGGCTTCTCATCTCTCCCAATGTCCCTCTAAGAAACCCTGATCCCATCTCCTCAGGAAAGAATGCATGAACGGCCCTAGAGACCAGGTAGCAGGGAGCCCTGAGGTGGCGCAGGGCACAGTCATCCCAAATGTTGGCGAGCCCCCTCTCAAGGACAATTAGGTTCCACCTCGCCGCTCAGCCTGTCCACACAGGCTGGGCCTTTCTCCTTGGCCGGATGACTCTGGGCCAGCATCTCAGACCCAAAACTTTGGAGATTCTCCAGAGCAGTGGTCTCTAAAACCTCTGCTCACACACTTCCTCATTAAAAAATGGTTAGCCATTGGGAGAGGTCAATGGGGGGAAAAGGAGACATGTAATACTTTCAACAATAAAGTATTTTAAAAAATAAAAAGATGCCGGAACCGGTTTGGCTCAGTGGATAGAGCATCGGCCTGCGGACGGAAAGGTTCCGGGTTCGATTCCGGTCAAGGGCATGTACCTGGGTTGCGGGCACATCCCCAGTGGGAGATGTGCAGGAGGCAGCTGGTCGATGTTTCTCTCTCATCGATGTTTCTAGCTCTCTATCTCTCTTCCTTCCTCTCTGTAAAAAATCAATAAAATATATTTTAAAAAAATAAATAAATAAAAATAAAAAGATTTGCCATTTGTGTTTCTCATAGATGATGAGTTACTATTTATATAATACATGCATGTAATATTTACTAACATAAAACATATGCAAAAATAGAAATCTTAAAAAGACAAGATAAAAAATAAATAGAAAATTTAAAAAATAAATAGAAATTCTAATAGTTTCTCCCCATACCCCAGTGGTTCTTCTGACATGTCCCCTCTGGAGACCATGGCTCTAAAGTTGTGTTAGAGAAAGAAGTCAGAATATGTTAAGCTACTAATTAGTTCTTTGGGACCTAAGCTATAAGCCAGCGTTCTCAACCTGTGGGTCGTGACCCCTTTGGTGGTTGAACGACCCTTTCACAGGGGTCGCCTAAGACCATCCTGCAGATCAGATATTTACATTACGATTC